GGCTGCTTTTGCAAACGAAAAGCGCATATTCTGCAATATGTCACCGCTATATGGCGATAGCGTAACGGGAAGGAACCGCTAACGCTATTAGCGTCGCTATTACAGGACTATTTACTGCTATTTATAATAGTGCCGGAGACTGACACCTAGCCAGAAATTAATGAGTGGCTCTTTTGCCCAAGAAACTTAGTATAATTACCATTTTAGAGCAAGCTCACAATGAGAATGAATAAGACCAAAAAAGATACCAAAAATGGAAATCATATGATGGTGGAAAGGTGTGGAAAGATCTGCGTACTATACGTTTAGGACAAATAGCTGTGAGCAAAATGACGGTCATCAAAGATGACGTTGCTCAAAGTCCAAATAGGAATAAGAGCTTCAGGGGGAAATAATTTTCACATGGAGGAAGAGGAGTTTTTTCTTTAATTTTAGTCTAAGTACTCAACAATTTTACTAAATAAGAATACAACATTTTCCCTCTAATCTTGAGACATGCTTGACAGTCAAACAACATTTTGAAATGAGAAACTAATTGAGAATAATTTAATTTAGTAAGAATATAAACCTCATTTTAGACACAACAGTCATTTTTAAAAACTTGTTTATTTTTTATAAACCTTCTAGATAATGACACCAATCTGCCGGTTTTAATGAATCCTGGGCCTTGGACTCTTGATAACGACATCCGCCACCAGAATTATCAAGACCTTATAAATCAATGTCAATATGCCAAATAACAAAAATACTGAGACTCGTGCAAATAAAAATATATCATGATAATAATAATCTCTGATACATGCTTGCTTAGAGACCTATCAGAACAGTAACATAAGTTCATCAAATACTACTAGCCAGGAATCAGATTCCAGGACAGGAAAAGTAAATAAGGACTAGAAAAAAGATACTCACATATACGGTGAATACAATTGCAACAACCATTATGGAAATTCCCCAATGATGAAAATCATCCATTAGTTTTCTGGCTACAAATACACAAAATACTGAGACAGGAGCAGCAATGAGGAATATAGTGAGAAACAACGACCTCACATCAGGTCCAAATATCAATCTTCCTTGAAAACAAAATATCTGCAAAGAAATTGTTAAAATAATGTTATATCATTCCTGAAAACATAATAAGATGGGAAAAAAGAACTTGAATATTATATTGACTAAAAGGTGGTGTTGGCCATAAACAAGGGTGTGTTTGGTTTAGTGTAGCTAGAACCCCATGTTGTTCCAACTACGTCAAAAGCTAAGAAGTCCTGTTTGGTTTAGATGCTCTTGCAACACCAAAAGGTTGTTGAACCAACAAAATAAGTTAAATTTGGGAGTGTTGGGAAAACACTCAAAAGTCTCAAGTTCAAGAGTGTTCCAATACCATGAGTTGGAACAACATGGTGCTCTAAAAACATTTGTTGTTCCAACTCCTTCAAACCAAATATAGAGCATTAAAAAGTCTCAAAAATGGCAGCCCCCCCCCAAGTACTTACTAATTTTTTATGACTAGGTGATATGTGGGTCCCCTCCATCAACTTTTCAATTCCCACTACAAAATGCACGTATAGACACCACTTTTGTCGTGCTTCAATAAGAGCTATGATATTTAGAGTTTATCTGTAGTGGCCTTTCATCAATTCTTTCAACTCTCTCTACAAAATACACTTACAGAAACCACTTCTTGTCATGCTTCAATAGGAGCCACAAAATTTGGAGAAATTTTAGAGTATGTCATGTTTACTAGTGATAGGTAGTAATATATGCTGTTGTATAGATATGTTGTCAGAACTTTAGCTATGATTTTCTTTGTCGTGTCTTTTCAACAGTAGAAACTTCATACCACAGAGTTGATTTTTAGCAGTAACATTTATTTTAAAACATCATTAAGGACTAGTTTTCGTATAATCTCATAACAATCATCACCATTACTTTCTTCAAGATCCGTAGCAATGTCATCGGGACAAAAGAGCACCTTGGGTGGATCAGCAGCTTCTAAGTTGTTGAGAAAGTATTTTCATCAATTGAAGCTAGTAACATCAGTAGTTCATCCATTGGAGCTAGTAACATTAGTAGTTCATCATAAACAAGTGACTTTAATTCTTGTTCACATGCGTCAAGATGTTGCAGTGCAAATCATTCATATAAGTTTCTTTAGTCTCTTTTATATTATATGTTTTATGACTAGATTTTAATCCATATTCCGAGCAATAATCAGGAAATAAAGAGCTTATTCTTCCAATTAAATAATTTACCATATTTCATTAATCATACCACTTTGCTGAGATACTTCTGGCGAAGATAATAGATCATTAATAATAGAATTCCAATCCAGTTGCATAATTCAGGAAAGGCAATATTCCATTAAAAATTGAAGGATATCTCATGAAGATATATGTTTTCCTCGTTTTTTAAGGATGTTTTTTGACATTATTTCTTTATTGGCTCCAAATGTCACCCAGAAGGTTTTCACTGTTTTAAAAAGCCTCCGCCCAGTCCGCCTAAGCATATGCCTAGGCCTAGGCGATACCTAGGCCGCCTAGCTAGAGCTAGCGCCGAGGCGGTACCTAGGCTGTCTAACTAGCGCTAGCGCCTAGGCACTACCTAAGCTACCCACCTAGGTTTTGAAAATGTTTAGGAGAGCATTGTCTCCTTATGTGGATTGCACCCTTTAGGTCTTGATTATGATTTTTTGTGTTGCGCCCTACACGTCCTCCAACCTCCTCCAAAGTACTTTAACCTCTAAATATGAACACCTCCAATACCGCCTCCAACCTGCAGCAAAACCTCCTCGACCGCTACTTAAATGAAAAAAATCCGTCTAGATACCAGTTCGGCTCCTAAACTTTCTATAACATTGATATTTAATATCAATTATAGTAATCCAAAAATAAAAAAATTAAAAAAACCTCCTAGGCTCTAGACATCGGGTCTAACGCCTAGGCCTCCTAGCGCTTTCTATAACATTGTTAATAATTATTTTGGCTATTTACTATTTAACTATACATGGTTTATTGTGGATCTAAGATGTCTATCTTTTTTTGTTACAAATTTATATGAATTTAATACATATTTTTATCAATTATTATAATTAAATAATATTAAAAATAGCCAAACGCCTAGGCACCGCCTAAGCGTAGACCTAGGCTTCTAGACGCTGGCTCAAACGTCAAGTCTAACTAGCGTCTTCTGTAACATTAAAGATTACAATAAACCAATTTGGTAGGCTCATCTAATTCATAAATCATATTCACCGTGTATGCTTTCAAGATGATTTTAAATATAGAAAACATATTCCTAAGCAGCTTGATAATCTCAGTAATTATATTGTTGAAGACCAATCTGAGTTTTTTCCTAAATCTCCAAAGGGTGTTAGGATTTTCATCTAAGTTCTATTCATTTAATGGAATAATATGATATATTCTCAACCTGAAATAGTTGTATTCTTTTACTCCATACTTATGATGAGCAAACACACTTCAGATTCCTTAAGGATTTTCTCATAAAATAGTTTTTCAAAATGTTGTTAGAATATAATAATAATCTTTTGGCAGAAATTTCATTGTCATTTTCAATCGGCAATTGATTCTAATCAATTTTCAAGGATAACAAGTTTATGCATAGTTTTCAAATAGAAAGGATAGTGTGCTTCCTTTTTGTCTTCTATTAAAGAATTGTCAAGATTCAAGAATTTTAAGATATGGTATTCCTACCTTTTTAATTGAATGTTGCATATACAAATATATGTCAGATTCTAGTTGAAATGTTGGCTAACGAAAGATTCTTACTAACATTATATTGCCAGCACCACTATGTAAGAATGCATTTCTATCTATCACTACTAAATGAAACAACTCTAAAATCCATATCTCCTATTCATGTATGAGAAAAATAACTTGTCCATTTCGAAGTGGGTATAGTGAAAATTGAAGATGAGTGACCCACATATCACTTAGAAAATTGGTAAAAACTCATGAGAGGCTGCTATTTTGAGGCCTTTCAATACTCTATATAAGGGGAGGATGCAAAAGTAGGGAAGGCTCTAAGGAGAGAAAAAAATTACAAGTTTTACTTGTTTTCCCACTTGTTTCCTCTTGTTAGTGTGCGAATGTTTTGTTTGTCGTTTTTTTTTTTTTTTTGAATGTTTTGAGTGATTGTAAGATAAAGTGTGCATTAGTGTGTGACGCTACTACTTGAAATTGGCAAGTTCATCTCCCATATTCTATTTTATGTAAGATGTACTATTATGTACCTTTGCCTCTATAAATATTACTGTCTAAAATGATGAAGAATCCACATATCACTTAAACAAGTAGTAAAACCTCATGAGGGAGCTGCCATTTTAAGACCTTTCAAGTCTCAATAATCTATATAAGTAAAGGATGCAAAAGAGAAGGGGCAGTTCTTAGGAGAGACAATTGCAAGTCTTCTACTCGTTCCTCCTCTTTTTTTAGTGTGACTGTTTTTATTTGTACTATATTTTTGTGAATGCTTTGGGTTATTGAAAAATAAGTGTATATTAGTGTGTGCTACTGCTACCTTAAAGTTGGCTACTTCATCTCCTAGCTTCAACTTTATGCAAGTTGTTATGGTATATAAGTTTGCCTCTTATAAATATAACTACCTAGAAAGACCAGAATCATCATAGATGGCATGTGGTTCAAGATTGTATTTGACTCCAACATGTCTTTTTTTTAATTACTTTTTTCTCAAACATGCTAGAAGAAACTAAGGAATGATGATCATCACATGATGTAAGTTCAAGAGTAACATTTTTCTAGAAGAAGAGAAGTTGATTTCAACATCACCATCGTCTTCAATAATTTTCTGAAAGTTAGAACTTTTAGTTAGACTTGGATCAATCATTTGATTTGATTTCCAACCAAAATGAAGTTGGATTTCATCCCATTTTAAAGTTTTTGGAATAATCAAGTTAATTTTTGGTGTTGACAAGAAACAAAGTAGCAACACATTTATCAAGGCTAAACTTAGCTTAAGGTGTAAAATTCTATAAGTCAATGTCATGTTTTCAAACTAAGAATCCATATTAAATCCTAATGTTTGAATATTCATAGTTCAAACTTTAAGAAATCTAGAGTATGATACAAAATAGAGAAATTCAAGAAAGCAATAAGGAAAATAGGACCATTACTCAAACTTGATTCATTTAGACCAATTAAGGAATCAGAAAAAATACTGAATCTACCACCTTGTAGGCAAACAAGAACCGAAGTGTCAAGACTATTTCCAGCGAGGGGTCTAATAGATATTTGGACAGGGCCAAGATGGAGAAATTTAAGAGTTGGATCTCCGGTGATATTTTAAATATCTTTATCACTAAATAATTGTAATTTTTCTGTCTGAAAAGTTATTGTCATAGTCTTTTCAATAGTTTTAATATGATATGTAGTTCTTAGTATAAAACTTCCTCTATTATAAATATCATTAGTATTTACTTTAGGCATCTTCCCACTAAGAATAATTTGATCAATATTTTCATAATTTAGAAATTTTGAATTTTAAACAGAATGTTCTAACACAAGGATTCTTTCTCTAAAGAATTATAGTTTAGAAACTATAAATGCTAAAAGGTTCTAGATGAAACTAGAATATTAGAGCAATAATAACTCAAATGTAAACTTAAAAAAATAATTAAAACATATAAAAGCAGATGACTTGATATAAGAGCACATTTGGCAAGTGGTCAAAATGGCTTGACATGTTTGGCAAGTGGCTAATTTTTTGTCATATAAGCCATCAAAAAAATAAGATGCCTGTCCTAGCTTATTTTTTGGTGGCTTATAAGCCACAAGATTTGACCAAGTCCAATATACCCCTCAAATCTCACAAAATTCCATGCCTCATTTATCTCTCTCCAACTTTTACTTTTTGATCATTTTGACAAAAATGATGGGTTATAAGCCACCCATTTGCCGAACACTCTAGTATTTAAAAATATATTGTAATCCACCAAATTTATGAAATACTTTAGCTTATAATCCATTTGTTTATAATCCATTTGTGAATTGTAAGGCAAGTGGATGGTAATCCAAAGTTGCCAGACATGCTCTAAAGCTTTTAGAAATTAAAGGAACCTGAATAGTAAATGCCATAAAAATCATGGTAAAACTTACAAAGAAAATCTTTTGATAAGAACTTTTATGTCTAAAGTGATCTTGATTATGAAAATATTAACCAATATATCAAAAACCTAAAACACCCCTGGTCTCAGTTGGCATCAGAGCCGACGTCGCATATGGATTAGATGGTTAGTTGCAAAAGAAACTGCAGCTCTCTGGTTTATATGTTATCTTTTGCATGACATAAATCATTTTGTGAATGCTTGCATGAACTTTTAACAACAATTAAATAATTGTAGAAATTTTAAATAAAAACTACTAAAATATTGTATGCTTAAGTTGCTTTAATTTGATAAAAAAAATTAAATCAAGTCATCTGCTTATATGTGCTTTAGCTATTTCTTTAAGTTTACACTGAGTTGCCATTACTCTAATATTCTAGTTTTGACTAGAACTAAGAGAGAGCAACAGGCTATTCAAGGAAAATAATGTATAGTTTTAGTATCTTGCTTGCCAGGGTCTCAAGTCCACATGCAAAAGTATCTAGGAGAAAGATGACAACGTGAAGTATGTTTCTCAGTAGTCTACTGGAATTGATTGATAACCAGTTTACCCAAAAGTTTATTTGTAAGCAACAACATATATTCGAGTGATCTTAACACTCTTGCCCACATGCACCTTAGGCCTATGTGGAAAGACAACTGGTAAAAAAAGACTATCTTGAGAAGGAAGAAAAAATAGGAACTACTACATAGTCTTCATTTCTTCAATTATGAGATTTAAACCAGGGTATCCTAAAATCTATTATTATAATATATGTCCACCTTACCCAAACTTCAGATAATGATTTGTCAGAGAAAATATATAACAAGCAAACTTATATGATACAACAAAAACAGAGAAACATGGTAAGACAACCAGTTTAAAAGTCTTAAAACTTATTCTTATGTGTTAATAATAATTATCAAGAAACTGAACACTAAAACCCTCCCCCTCCCTCACTTACCTTTTACACTACATGGAAGAACTTACAGCTTAAATATGACACACTCATATAGGGAAAACATATGGGGCAAACAAGCATTTCGTCATTTAAAATCATGATAACTGAATGCATGAATTTAGAACAGGTTTATGATACCATATAAGCAATTACTTGTGTGTATATGTCAGAATATAGAATGGAGACTTCTTAACCAATATTAGCCAACTGCGATAGCAAAAAAGGTGTGAACTTCAATTAAATAGATGTGATAAGGAAACAAAACTACAGGTTAGCCACCTTAGCAGAGCTATGAGCTCCTAGTATCAGGAAGTTCAATTAAGTCAAAAAAGGAGTTAGGCTTCTCGAGCGAGTTTTAATATAATGTGGCAGTGTTACCGAAACACTGAGCATCTCTTGATAAGAGAAGGGAGCAGATGGACCCAAAGGCCAAAGTCAAAACATATAGACTTGATCATGAAAAATTACCAATTGAATACGAAGGACATGTATTCCAGATGCAAAATAGATAGGGAAGCACATTGTTACTTCTACACCTTAGGTCAAACCTGATTGCTTAACTAGGCTTTGTACCTCAGGTATAGCACCGACAACCAACACCATTTGCTCAAGCACAACCAAGCAGCAAAACTTGATGTTGAAAACTTGATACCCTCTCGAATTTACATCATAATTCCACTATTTTGGAAAGTACGCATGAAGGAAAAGATTATAACCCCTTGCCTTGATTGTTTGATTGGTATGTTACCTGGGTACTTCTAGTCGGAAGCCGTACACATACCCGACACACACCCGTACCCGTACTCATGCCCAAACTTCTTGGACAATTCTTGAATATATGCATATGTTTATTGAGGCATGTACTCAATTATATAATACATATTTTAATTTAAAACACTCCTAATGCACTTCTTGGACTTATTTTCTACATTTTACATCTAATTCTTATATATTGATCTCATGTAAATGAAAAACAATATTGATCTTATGTAAATTATTAATTTTAATACATATAACTATACATAACATACATATATCCAGCAGTGTTCTCGTACCCTACCTTTTACAATGTTGTCGTGTCCCATACCCATACCAGTACCCGCACCCGCACCCGTACCAGTACCAGTACCCGTACCCGTGCCCATGCAACCTAGCTCGATTGCAACAAACTGATCTATGTATTTGGTTTCAGATGTTAAATTAAACACTAAAAATCACAACTTTAGATCCTTTTTATTACACAGATAAACTTTTAAAAAGGATATAGATCCAAAAGGAATAGTCAATGCAACAAGAACATGTTCAAAAGTGGCAAAACCTAAACCCACATGTAAATGCCATATCTGGAACGCGGGAACATGGTGTTGTAATAATCATCTTCTGTTCAGCATGGATCTCTACTCACTATATGGCTAACAGAACCTCATATATCTGAATACAATTTTTGAGAAAATATCAACAGTTCCTAGAGCATCACACAGCTAAAATGCATTCGAATGCAGTTAGGATCCAGTTGGGCTATTACACAATAACTAACTTGCAGGCCATAGCATTCTTGCATCCTCTGAAGTCTGAACTTTGCTTCATATGACACTAAACTCAGTTAGAACACTGTAGTCCATCTCTGAATGCACCAGAAGTGCATCACAAGCCAGAAATAGTCAGCCATGTAAACAAGCGGTCATCAAAGTACGCTAAGTTGAATTCTTAGGCAAACTTGAAATCTGTAAGTATTCAACTGTAATTATTCCTTCCTTTAAAGGGCTGTTGTAAATATAGTTAATACTAATATTTTGATGCACGCATATCCATTTAAGATATGCCTATACTTCTTTGAAGATGACCTCAAAAAATAAATTTAGTAGTTATATCTTAACATGCATATCGATTTAATATATGCCCATTCTTCTTTGAAGCTGATTTTGAGACTTAAAAGTACAAGTTAGTTACGTTAGCTTAGTTGGTATTTTATCATCAAAAGTTGAGTTAATCAGTGTCCTAGCATTATCTATCATAAAGCTTTATTCTTGGTATGGTTATAGAGATTATGAGACTCATATAAACAACATGTAAATGAAAATAGAGGCTTAGCAAGTTGAGTATGAAGGCCATTAGGTTTTATTTGCAGATGAAATGAACTTTCTCCTTTGATCTTGTAATCTCGTCCTTAGGTGCCAGAATATGTATGAACTATCTATATTTTTTAGGTCGGTATGCTAATTGTTTTAAATATCTCCAACACAGCCGATATTATCAATATAAATGTCCTTTTAAAGACTTGCCATACAAACAATATGGTCAGAAAGTCCTTCACGGTTTTTGGAAACTTTTGAGTGAAACTATCATGATTTTCCAATATACAAGATGACATTTCGGCTTCAAAAAATCAGCTGAACTTATGTAATGCTGATTGACTTTTATTTTTTGGTTTGAATTTATAGTTCAAATTGCGGTTTAAACTAAACAAATATCTTCTTATGCAAATAACTGGAAAGAATAATTCAGTAAAAGCTTTGCAAAAGATACAACATTTCTCCATAGCCCCATTCTTTGGTGCATCAACTATAAACATCAATGATAAATACCAATTATCTGATATATGCCAATCCCAATAATTATTAAATATTTCTGATATCTCCTTCACATCCACCATCCTATATGGAATTTTTATATCGAACAAATCCCCGAAATCCAACATTTGGAACGCTACTTATGCTTAATATTTTTCATTCATCAGAACATGGAAATATTGCTTATCTTGCTCATACTGCTAGGAGGTTCTTGTATGTAAATTTTGGAAATGCAGCCTCTTAAAAATTGTCATATGTTTAGTAAAGACAATAGAAGTGAATGCATCATCTATTTGACTTAGAACAAATAGTCTATTGTCAGTACACGCTTTTGGATTGTCTTTGAAACAAAATATATCCTCTAGCCACTAAAATTGAGATATCACTCAAGTTGTCTAGAATCTACCTAATCATCCATATACCCAAACTAAAGAAGTTGCAAAATTCACCAAATTCACAAATTGCCAGGATGAACAACCAACCAGTGAAACAAAAAACAATACAAACTATCATTACACTAGTGTTATACTAAATCAGCATAATCAAGCACATTGTTCCTGTGTTGAGGGCAGGCCAAAATAAGACACATCATCCCGCGAGCAAGATAATGTTCATGGAGTAGCTATATGAACTCCTTAACAACGAACAGAAATCCGCTTCATCTGAAGCAGAAATCTACTAAAAACAAGCCCTTTTTTTCCAAACGAAGGTACCTTAATGAAGCCGACCTTGTTTTCTGACCAAATTTGCAATCTTTTTTATCTTACATTTGAACTTAAATAAGTAGAATTTCTTATCAAACCCTACCAAACAAATCAAAACCCTAATACAACACACCAAATCAAGAAGTAGAAATTAAAAATAATAATAATAATAATACCCTCAATTATCCAACCAGCAGAGAGAGATCACGAGACTTACGTTGCTCCCTTTCCAGACCTCGTAAACCCTAGGCTCCGCCTCCCCCTCGTCGGCGGTGCCCCGACGCGGCGCCACTCCGTA